TTCGTGAAAACAATCCTTGATGTCAATGAAACTTAATTTGAAGGCAAAATAACTGTTCTCCATATTCCTGAGATTTCTGGGAACCAAACTGGCAGGTTCATGTTGACGAGCGGCCCTCTTGAGTGAGCTCCATCCCCTCTGCATGCTGCCCTCTCCCCGGGGTCTGCCCTGCAGCCTGCCCCGTGCTGTGTGTGAAGTAAGTACAGCCTGACTGCAGGGCTGTGGCAGGCAACAGGAACTGCTCCTGTCTGTGCACATGTGGCCAGCTCTCAGCAGAAGGGTGTACAACAGTGAGGCGGAAAACTGCCCCGCTGTTGCCCTGCTGGCACCTGTAGGAAACTGCCCCCCCGAGTTAGGGTTTTAAGAGGCCACAAATCAAGCTGGGGAACGATAGGGAAGGATATACTTTTACCGAGTTACACAAAAGACAGGCTCTCCTTCTAGGGGGGTAAAAACACCTGCTAATTAGTTATAAAATCAATATTTACAGAGTTGCTGTAAGACATTTTTGTGAACTCATTGAAGACCAAATGAGATTTTAAAAGGTGAAAGTCTGAACAGAACAGCTAAGGTTACCAGGGCAAGGCTGTTACTTCACTCGCTGATATAGTGGCACAACCTGCTGCCCCTTCTCCTTTCCCCTAAGAGGACACCAAGTACTCGAGAAGTTAGGGATGACAGTGTCCTACTTGTACTTCACAAACCTGAGCACAGGTACAACCAACCTGTCAATGTTCTTGAAAATGTTACATTTGCTGTCCTTCACCGTCAGCTGGAAGGCCAGGGCTGTGTGGTGACTCTCCAAGACGGCAGTGTCATTATAGAGCACAGCAAGTTCACTGCCTGCATTGCAGAGGAAAGAGTTGGTCCTTCCAGGGTGGTCCACGTCATGGACTGTGGCGGCAATCAGCGCTGCCACCTCATCCAGCTGGTCGAGGCTGCCCTGGGGTCAGAGGAGGCAAGGTTGAGTGTTACCCCTCAGGTGCAGGAGAGCTGTACTCACCCTTGTCTCAGGAGGGAAGAGGCCTGCGGGCTGGGGATTGTGAGGCTGTCCTCCCCGGGACACGTTGCTGTGCTGTGACTTGTCTGGGAGGACATAGTGGACACCTAAAGCTTTCTCCCCAGAGTCCATTCACTCCACTTCCGCAATAAGAAGCCAGATGGGCCTGTTGGGATGCCCGCCGTGTGGTGCTGCCATGTCTCTTCCGTGAGCAGAGAGCACAGACAGTGGCCTGTGGTCACAGATACTACTCGTTTGATTTGCATACTTCTGAAAGGTTTTGAGGGTGGCAGTAAGTGGCACAGATACAACACAACTCTTCACATGAAGGTGACCCGATTAGAACCAAGTGGTACGAGGTGTGAAGAATTTCCCCAGGAAAATGAGGTGAAGAGGGTGGTTGTCAGAATAAAATTCAGCTCTGGGCTAGCAGGTGGTAAAGGCAAAAAGGGAAACCCTCCTCCAGTTCTCATTATGTAATTAACTCGAAAATCGAGGGACACAAGTGTTTTCTCAGCTCACAGCTTTAGGAGGAAGTTACCAAGTGGGCTACTGTTCCATTAGAGACTCCGTCCTGTATGAATTCATTCATCTGATAATCTGTTGGATGCCCCCTGGGTATCCAACAGATACCCAGCTGCCCTGCACAGCCCAGCAGCTGCAGCAATGCACTGTGCTGGTATCATCTCTGCACTAGTGGAGTTCATCGTTGGGTGAGGCACAAATTAGTTAAACCAACACCCACACGAATAAAAGTAACACTGAGAGATGTGCTAATAAGGATGTTAGAGGGCTTTGAGAATGTAACCATGGGGCCTGATGTAGTAGTTAAGGACAGTGTGGCCCATTCACCGTTCTGTGGTGATAAACGTTTCTGCCTGTACTACCCAATACGGTAGCCCCTAGTCGTGGGTGGTCACTGGGCACTGGAAATGTGAACAGTGCAACTGAAGAACTGAGTTTTTACTTCTATAATTTTAGTTAAATGTAAATAGCCACATGTGGCTAATGGCCAGCACGTTGGACAGCACCGGTCCAGGGCTGGGCAGGGATGGCTTCTCTAGGAAGTGCCTTCCATGTGAAGCCTGAGGGACAGGCAGGCATTGCCCAGGCACAAGGGGCAAGGCAGAGAGTTCCAGGCAGAACCGCCTGTGATGCTCCTGAGGTGAAACAGAGAAAGTGGGTTATTCAATGAAGGTTAAATGAGGGGAAAAGTGACCCTCAAGATGAGGCTGGAGGGCTGAGCACAATATTTGATAGTCCCAAGTTGTTCTCAAGGCTGAGGGAAGAAAAACAACCCCAGTGCTGACGGGTAAGGAAGAATGAGTCTGAAGGCTTTCTCGAAGGCTCCTACCAGAGGGGGGCCATTTCCAGCCCTGACCTGGCTAGCAGCAACCCTGGCTTGGCCCCTGGCCTCATGGCAGGTTTCCTGAAGGGGACAGCAGTCAGTGCTGCTCTTCTCAGCTCTGCTCCAAGACTGATTTTGTGGTGCTCAGAGAAGGCACCAGTGTGCCTGCTCCCATTTTGCTGCTGGTCAGGAGAGGCCATGCTTACCTGTAGGGCTGGTTACAAACTTGGGCTCCACCCTGACTGATTCTACCCATGCACTGAGGACCTACGGGGCCCTCAGCCGGTGCTCCTAGCGTAGGCCCAATCTTGCTTGGAGCCTGGGGCCAATTGTAAAATTCATCATCAAAAGAGGTTTGTGTAACTGGAGTAAGGACAAATAGCATTAGATGAGATCTGCCTTTTCTTCCAGCTCGCACTGACTGATTTAACCTGGCACCTTTACAAAGGCACCACTAATGGGCCACATCCTGCAGTGTAGGTGGGACTGATAATGCAGCGTCTGATAGGACTGGGGGTGGGCTAGGAAGACTGGGCCTGCTCACTAGCACAGGGAGAAGCCAGGCCTCTGTGAGAGGGTGGGGCTGTCTGGGGAAGGAAACTTCCCCTCCAAACCCACACCAGGAGAAATTCTAAACCCCTGGAGGTGCAGGCTTTTCTGCACATTTTCCCCCTTTGACCAGCGAGAAAGATCTGGATCATACTGAGGCAAACTGGCCAGAGTGAACTCCCTTCTGGATCACCCTTTGAACAGTTCCTCATCTTGGGTAAATAGTCACCTACACCAGGAGAACAGCAAGGGAAGGCTGGCTCTCCTGATCTGTCTACCTGCAGTGGTTCCTGGGAGCCGGCAGAAGTGGGGAGCGGATAGGGGTGGTATCAGTTGAAGGGCATGTTACCTAGATGGCTGGGCTGAGGATGTGGAGCTCTGTCATGAGAGCACTAAGAATTTTAGCCTTACCGCACAAAGAAATGAGGGGTGACGTGACATGGGAACTTGATACACTTCCCTTACCCTCTTCATCAGTGGCCACGGGTCTGGGGGAAGAGACCTTGGGAATGAATCCCACCTGAAGTCCCTCACATGGAGTAACCAGTGACCTCGGGCTGCTGGCTACACCTCTGAGCTCAGGAGCCCCTTCCCACCCAGCTCCCCAGGGTTCCTTGCACCTTGAGATGTTCTGATTCTCTGGCAGGGGCTGCCAGAGTTAGAAAATGTCTTGCATTGTGAGCGCATTATATCTAGTCTTAGACTTGTTTCTATTGCTGCTATTTGAGAAATTCAACCAGAGTCTGAGTGCATTAGCAGAACTCAGAATTTAAACAAAAATTCTTATTTGGGGGGAGGAAGATTAAGGGAGATAATAAAGTGACTTAGCATTCCCTAATTTGTCACACATTCACGTTTCTCTAGAGTGGTTCTGCTTAAGTGGGTTTTTTTTTTTTATCTCAAGGCTGCAGTAGCTGTAGGTCACTTTGGTCTTGGGTTAAGGCCTTAGGTCCTGTCCTCAGTTGGCAGTGGGTGACCTCAGCTGTGTAATATCTGTGCAGTATAAAGTGGAGGACCATGAAGCGGGAATGGAGACCTGGAAGTGTCTTAGTTCCTCCAAGTTAAGTGCTATAGAAACGGGCTTACATCACCTGGGATCACACCTTTTTCTTAAGTAGGAGACAAAAATCTTCAAAAGTACCATTCTTGGAACATATTCTTTGCTTTCTTGCTGATGAAAATGGATACTAGGATTCGGCTAGGCTGAGAAGGAAATGCCCCTCCCCATTTTGGTGCCATTCCTGTTTCCTTCGACCTGACCCACTACAATTCTTCTCACTTACTGGGCCTTATAGCTAAGAAAAGATTGAATGCCAGGCATTTGCAGATTAATGTGGATTTCAGTCCCTATGCAGCACTTGCCCCAGGGATATCAATAGTCTTCGGTTTCAGTTCTAATTGTAGCAAAGGGGTTACAAGCTTCACTGTGCAAATGATGACAGTTGGTCAGGAGGGAAGAAGGGATCTCTTGCCAGCTCTCGATGGGGTGTGCAGAGGGCTGCCCTGTGAACCAGCAGCTGTATCTGGCAGTACTGACTTTGAAGTAAGGCAAAGGGACACAGACCTCGTTCAGAATCTCACAACAGTCGTCAATATGCAGATGCACATATCCACACCTACGTAACATGCACATGTATGCAAGTCAGTACGAAGCTGAAGCGCTCAGTGCTATCTGGATTATAATATACCAATGGCCAAATTCTGGTCCCAAAACTTAACCTGTAGACCTACTAGCCATTTGCTATAATAATTAAATTCTGTCCTCTAACCCAGTATTACAAAGGGCTCCTTGTGAACATTTGGAGAATGTGTTTGTTCATGGATCCGCCTGGCATGTAAAGGACTCTTTATAGTGGCACAGATCATTATTTTAGGCATTTCAGGGAGGGGGCTAGGAGAAAAGGCTATATCCTTACAGCACCGAATGACCAGTCAACTTGCAGCCAATAGCAGCCACTACCACCACAAAACCTGTCAAATCGGTTATGAAACAGCTCTTTACCTAAAATATGTACTAAGATTGAACCCTTGGGTCTCTAGTATAGGCAAGTAACTAGATCATGATACCAGAATTCTACCTTCACTCTTTCCTTTCCGAGGAAGAAGGCGGTGGCGTGCAGGACATCAGCAGCATGGGTGGAGTTATGGTACGCATTGGAGGAGTGGTAGTTGGCCTCAATCACTTGGAGCCAGGCCCGAAGAGTAGTTTCAGAACAGCGCAAAAATTCACATACTCCGAACCGGGAGAAGACCTTTAAGCCCAGGTAAACCAATGGCCTGGAAAATAGGAAAACAAACCCTGATTCATTGTATTCACTGGCCCAAAAACTGCTTTCTTTGATGATACTGAGGAATGTGGAATGGAGGTATTTTTCTTCTGATGCTTATTCCACATGCGCAGGGGCATAAAAACATCTCCTCCCCCAGTGAGAAGCTAGGACATCTCCTCACTAGTCACTTATTTGAAACTAGGTGCCTTGTGATAGTCAATCAAATGATTTCCAGAGTTTCTCTTCATTATTGCCTGCAGTGGCTCTAACAACCAAGAAAGGACCCCTGGTAGTTCCTCTCCATCTGCACTTCCTTTGTGTCTCCTGAGGAAGTTACTGAGCCTAAGGACAAAAGGACTGCCTTATGTGGTCTCGACCAAGTCATACCATGTACAGGTGAGAGGAACTCACATCCTAATAGACTAACACCCCTGGAAGATGTAACCTTCTCCTGCTGTAAGAAGATGACTTTGTGAGTTACCTAACCCTTGCCCTGCCTATAGAGTTGATCAGAAGAGAAGCCCATGGTGCTCTCAAACTCGTTGTATAAGGTGGGGTGTCAACAAGTTTGGGGCTGAGAATACTTAGAACTCTTGACACATTAGCACAAAAGAATGACCTGGGCAGATCTGAAAAGGACTATTTCCGCGTCCTGGGTCATCACCAGGCTGATCCCGTGTCTTACCCACTAATACTCTCTCTCCATAAAGGAGCTCACGCAGGGGCCACAGTCTGCTCGGTCGACACTCCCCCAGCATGGCAAGAAAGGTACAGCCTGTGAGGTCCCTTGTGGCAAGGACTCCTGTCTCCTTCGAAGTTTCCCAATGTGCAAGTCTTGAGCTTGGCCATCAGTCCTCCCTGCCTGCAGCCAGAGAAGCCACATACCTTTTATGTGTAACAGCTTCCAACTCAAAGATGTTGAACTCCCAACTTTCCTCATTATCCAGTAACTGGGCGATACAAGGGGGGACATCGTTGATGGTTATTGGCATCGCCAGGTGACTGTGACTCTGGTGCACGTCTGGGCAAACAGATGGGGCAGGGAGGCTGGTTAACAGTGAAACCTGGAGGGCCCTGAAGCATCTGTCTTCACCCTCATGGCTGCTCCTGCAAAAGGAGGTCCTGAACTTCCCAGAGTAGGGAGATTTTCACTCCTATTGCTAATTTCAAGGCTCTCAAATAGAAAAATAATTCAGTTTGTTTATAGAGATTTGCGTTCTTATTCTGACAGTGTTGAGAGAAGTAAATTTAATTAGGAGACCTGGTTTCAAGAGTAGACCATTAGAGATGCTTAAACTCCAGTGAGACTGACAGGAAGTAGCACCAAGGTCCCCTCAGCCCTGCAGCTCTCGCCAAATAATTGCAGCACTGGGGACATACAGGCCAGAGACAGGTTGTCAGTAACAAGCAGACAGGTGGTGACTTACTCTTAGTGAACACATACTCGTTTCCGGACAACCTTCTCAGGCCATCCTGGAATGAAGAAAGATGATATTAGAAGCACATTTTATATGCTGGTATCATTTTCTCATTTCTTTTGTTAGCCTAAGCGATTTGATTGCTGAATAACCCAGTCAATCTGGAACTCCAAGTTGCAGCTTGACAGGAAACCAGAACAACAGCTGTAAAACACAGGATAGTCTCTCCATGGCCGCCTTGCCAGCCCCAGGAGATGGAGAACTGAGGATGAAGTAAGTGTAAATGACTGCATTCAGGGCTCACACCTGAGCTGTGAGTTGGCTCTATTCTCATGCCATCCTTCTCTTCTGGCATTTTGAAGGCACATTAGTGACATCACAGAAGTTAACTTGCTTTGGTTTGGATGGGTGTGACTTTTAAGTGACCCTACTTACCCTCACAGGGACTTACTTATTAGGGAGACAGTGCCATGGGCCACATCTGGGAAGTCCTTAATGTAAAGCCTTAAAAAGTTTGAGATAAATTTTGACTAATATCTAATTTTTCCAACTTTATTTTGTTTTGTAACATAACCATTGTTGTTACCACTTGAAAGAAAAGCTTCTGGATTTGAGGTCTTTGGAGGGACAGCATAAGGGAGTAGACAGAATTCCGATGTTCTGGCATTTACTAGGCTCTTGAACTTGAACTCATCCCCGGATATTCTTGCATTTCAGTTTCCTCCCCTTCATTTTCTATCCCTGAGTACCTAATTTTTAAAGATCTTTTATAATTGTTTGTATAATTTATAATGGTTTGCCATCCTCAGAAAGCGTTCTCCTGAAGTCACACCTTGGATCTTTAGGTCAAGAGCTTAATTTTTACAGCTGAATAAAAGATAAGTCATCAATGGGCACAACTGCCCTGCCTCTAAGATCTCACAGGGACTCCGCCATTTTTTTCTTTGCCTTTCTCTCTTGCCTTATAGCATTACATGGAGAGGAACCCCAGGATGGCATGGCGGCAGGGAGAAGGAGGGCTGGTAACTTGTTCCAGGAACCAGAGCCCTGCTGCTGCAGCTCTGCAGGGGCCACCTTCCTGAAAGACCTTGGCCAGCGCTCTCTCTAACTGAAGCCGATGCTGCATGGTTTAGCAGGAACAAGGAGAACGGATCAGAAAGCCAGTCCACACTCAGCATTTGGTGGCAGGGCTGGACCTTTAAAATAAAACTCATAGATGACTCTCAGACTTTGTTTTTCTCCCAGAGAATTCTTCCAGCTTCAGCCTCTGATAAGGAACACAAATGAATCATTCGAATTTTCTTCTTTTTCTTCACTTGCTGATAGATAATGATCACAGTAAAACACTAGAACAGGGTGAATCCTTGGAAACCAGCCACTATTGGTGGTTACAAGTGAAGGCATCTGCTGTCTGAGTGCTGGGCGGGGGGCTCCTGCCAGAGCTCCTGCTCTGCTTTTATCCTGTTTTAAAAAGGCCTTCTATGTAAGCTTTCATTTAAAGAAAGGATTCTAGAGCTCAGATTTTGGGAACTAGTGCTATAGCCTGAGTACAAACCCTTCCAATTATATAAAGAGCCTCAGGTCAGAGGAAACCTAGACTTAACCTCAATCCACGACTGTGCCTACCAGGTCAAGGGGAAGAAGTGAACAAGGGTCCCATCATGCATATTTGCCCTGGATCAGCTGCCTATGAACACCAGACTATGCACGAATTCTGATGGCAGCGCTGTCTCCCACTGCTGTGGTTGGCTTTACAGAAAATAAATGCAAGAACTTGACTAATACCACACCCAGAAATTTGGGTGCATATGCTTCTGGTTTTGCTGATGTTCACCTTCATGATAGGTATTTCTGTAGTTATAGGTAACAGTGCATGTTACATGTTATGTGTAGCCTAGTACATGTTTAATGTCATGTCCCCAGCATTTCTGGTTTTTCCTCATCACTCACAGTCATCAGGCCTCCGACGAGATCACTGGTGTGAGGATCTTCATCTTTGGTACCCAGCTGAGGGGAGTACAATTCTGTGGTCCGTAAAATTTCTAAAACTCTGTCCAAGGCTTCTGCTACTGTGACGGGGCTGTTTTCTTGGGCTGCGTTGATTATATTTATAACCTAAGGAGGTCAAGAAAGAAAAAAAATTGAGGACATTCTAATTCCTGTGTATATACACCTGGAATCCAAAAGAAATCAGATGATAACACGTTGACCAGGGTGCCCAGGGCCTTCATGGCTCTCCCTTCTCCTGCCTCACGGATTGCACTTCCTCGGCTCCTCCGCTGCTCTTTCTCCCCCCCCGACCCCCCGCCCTCTCCTCCTAGGGGTGGAGTGCCTTTTTCTCACTCTCCAGGCCGTCCAGGGACGAGCTCCTTCATCTCCACAACTTTGGACACTATCATCCATGCACAAAGACTCTCATGTCTACATTCCAGCTCTGAGCTCTTGCTGACCTCCAGACTTGTATATTCAGTTGCCTACCTGACATACCTGTCAGAGTGTCTACTTACATGTCCCAAACCAAACTCCTGATCTCGCTCCCCTCTCCCCAAAGCAAACGAGCAAACATAACCCAAACGTGGAAGGCAAGGGGCTTTGTTTCATCCTCTGGTTTCCACACTGCGGTAAAAAAGGCACCTCTATCCATGCACAAACTAAAGCCTGAGAGGCCCTGGTTTGCACGTCACTTTCCCTCCGATGTCTCCCTACTCTGACAATACAGTGAATCACCAAGTCACATTGATTCCACCCCTGAATAGTTCCTGATCTATTCATTTCTCTCCATCTTCCCTACTATAATTTTAGTACAGCTAACACCATTTCTTGCCTGAAATTCTGGAAAAACTTCCTTAACTGGCCTCTTCACTTTCACTCATCATTGCCAATCCACCATCTGCATAACTGATCTTGTTCCCCCTGCTTTCAGCCCCTCAGTGCTTTCTACTCCATACAAACTAAAATATAAAGTCCTTGTTGTGGCCAGTTGGCCAGAATGAACTCGGCCCTGCACAGCTAGCTCCATGCCCGTCTTCTGCCCTCTGTCTGCAAGTTCCAGCCACCCTGACTTTCTGGCCCTCAAATGCTCTAATCCCCCCCCAAGCTCGCTCCTTACTGTGCCTGCTGCCTAGAATACTCTCCCCCCATCTCCTCGCTATCTTTGCTTGCTTCATGTCCTACGTCAAACATTACTTCCTCTGTGAAGACACCCTCCCTCCCACATACCCCAAATAGGGCCTCATCTAATTTCCTCTCATAAACCCTGTTTTCCTCTGTAGAAGTTATTGCAATTTATAACTACATATTTATTATGTTTGTTTAATATCTGTTTCCTCTACTAGACTGTAAACTCGCTGATATTAATGGTATGTCATTTATCATTTTACTTCCAAAACATAGCCCAGTGCTGCGTGACCCCAGTTGTAGAGTGGAGGCAGCAGCTGCCACTCACCTTTGTGATGGGCGCCTCAATGGTCATGGAGTGGATCCTGGCCATAGATGGGTAGCGGCGGTTCTGGAGGCTTGGTGCTGGAGAGAAGTCAAGAAAGGTGTATCTGGTGTTGGTGTCTCAGCGTGGCTAAGTGCAGCAAAGGAGCCCGTCATGGACAGGGGCCTGGTTCTCAAAGGAGTGAATTCACCCGTCTCTCAATCCTAAAAGGCTAATAAGCACATGGCTACTACTGGCCAGAGTTTGGAAAGGACATTCTGGTCTGGAAGGTCAATGGCAGGAAGGCTTTAGGAGTCCCAGGTCCACGGGAATTTCAGAGAAGGTTGATGGAATCCGGAGACCCCATCCCAACAACCTAATGACCCCACAGGACTCACTTCCCCAAAAGCCACTGCAGCCCATCAAGGGCAGTTCCATCACTTTTGGCCCTTAGCCACTGGCCATGTAACTGGATAACTGTGGAGCGTGGGAGGGGAGGCTTGGTCCAGGTCAGGGGGTGGGCAGAAGAATGAACCCATGCTCAGTGTGTATTAGGGCCAGGCACTCACATCCTTGAGCCATTAGGTTCTTCACACCCAGAACCCATGGTGGCTCTAGCTCTAATCGGTAGCAACTTTCATTTTAAAATAATTTTATTTTTTTGAACAGGTAATGCTTACTTGTGATTCAAAATTCAAAAGGTGGAAGCTTTTCTTTAAAAGCACTGTTCTCATCAGATCTTCCTCCCCCTCCCTATGAGGGACAGAACCTGTGTGGTATATAGAAGGGGTCACTTAATCTAGCCACACCTGCAGAGCAGACCCGCTGCCCAGCTGTCTTTCTTGTCCCTCTGCTGCCAGAGCAGCCACGCTGCACACCTCTGCTGCTGGCCCCACACTTCCCCGTGCTCTGTGGGGATGACGATGGCCACGCAAACTCTGCTATGAAAACAGCTCATCTAGTTGCAGTCCCTCGGTGGTCATCCCTCCCATCTAACGTGTTGTGTATCTGCACCCTCCAGGTGTTCCTGCACCTCCAGGAAGGTGTTTCAGCCCACCTTCCTTGCCTGCCCTGTCAGGTATCCCTCTCCCTCTGTGAGCTGTCCGTCTTCTCTTTAGAGTCTGTGGCTCCTTGTGCTAGTTCAGCCACTTCTCCCACACTCAGCTGCCTGTTGTGCCCCGAAGGGCTCAATAGGCCTTCCCTTGCCCCTCCTGTTTACCCTGTTCAGTTACCGCCCCAGTTCCCTCCTTTCTGTCATCACTAACCACCCCTCCTCATGCCTGTAGAATTTGTCCTCCTCTGCCACGTAAAAACCAACTGAATGAGTGAAACCAACGAGTCTGTTCTCAGCTCTGAAGCTCTCTGACCTCTGCAGCGTCTGACGCTGCTGGGCCTCTCCTTTCTTTTGCTGCCCTCTTGCTCTTGGTTCACAGGACTGTGTCCACAGGGCTCACCCCCGCTCTCCAGTCCTCTTCAATGGCCCCAGTTCTCCTGCTGCCCTCTCACTGAGGCTGTACTTTCAAGCCTTGAACTCAGACCCCATTTTTTCATTACATACCCCCCCAGAGATGCTCCTCTGCTCACCTGTTACCTCTGGGACTCCCAACCCACATCTCCGGCCCGAGTGCCTGCCTTGCATTTCAGCTTCCTTGGCATCTCCACAAAAATGAAGTCTATCATCTCCTCGGCCCCAACCCAGTCACACATGGAGACTTTCTTATTTCTGTAAACAATGCTTATATCTTCCAGGCACAGCAAAATGAAATTCAGAATCATCTTTGATTTTCCCATCTCCCTACAAACCCAATGGATGGATTGGGCCTGACTGAACTCAGAAAATGTTTTGCTCAATTCTGTCTTACAACTTGCCTGCCTCGTTTTATTAAGGGAAAGTAAGGGTGTGTAATAGGAATGCTGACAACTGGGTTTGTGATGGAGTTGGGAAGCCACAGTTCTGGTTCCCTCTCTGCCGCCAGCACCCAATAGCGACCCAGCTACCGAAACTGAGCCACTCTGGTGGCTGTGGTCCAATGCACTCAGGCCACCAAGGAACAAGCCTCAAGTCATTTCATTTCAAAGAGAAGATAAAGACTATAAAAAGTAAAAAAAAAAAAAAAAAAGGAAAGGCCTAAAAAGTCTACTGCCTGAGGGTAAAGGCTAGAATAAGACTTCAAATGAAATCTTTGGAGTTTGATTTATATGCTGACAAATTCTTTAACATATTCTTCTGTCATTTTCTACACTTTAAAAAAGTCAAGAAAATCTGAAAAACTTCTTACCATCACTGCCTCGAGATGATATCGATTTCACATCGATGGACTCTCTCCTCCTGTTCTTGTATCTGAGTGAATGAGACTCTAGGAGTTCAGATGAGTAATGGGAAGTGATTAGTTATCAGCTTATTCACAGGTGAAGTTTGGACACATTCTTCCCCTCATTCTCCAAAGAAAACAAGGGTACTTCTCACACACTATAAAATACTTCTAAGAAATAGGCAACCACTTTCTCTTCAGCTGATCATTGCACACAGACTCAGTCACCTCAGTTGCACAGGGGTGTCCTTCTCCTGTGGCACTGCGTGGCATCGTGGAAATGGGGCTTATGACCAAGGCTTGTTTAGTTTCATTAATAAACTCTTTTTAAAAAATAAACATGATTCAATTCCCAGTCAGGGCACATGCCTGGGTTGCGGGCCAATTACCAGCAGGGGACGCATGAGAGGCAACCATACATTGATGTTTCTCTCCTTCTCTTTCCCTCTAAAGATAAATAAGTAAAATCTTATTCTGGGATGGGAGAA